GGTCTAAGCCCTGCACTGTGCTTTCTATCCCGTTTTGATTTTGGCTTCCTCCTTGCCAATGTGGACTCAACAAAATCTTTCATCAGTGTTCTCATAACGTAAACCAAGTAAACCACAGAACAACTTGCCTGCTGACCTAATACTTGCGTGATGAGCATTTCTTTGGCTATCATTTTAGGAATTATTATGCAGCAGATGTCTACACACTATCTGAAGAAGCTGAACTTCCCAGCATTACGGAATTGTAAGTAGTGGAGAGTGTTAGATGGTGAGTCCACGACTCACCAACTCACTAGGGGAGCTTAGAGAAACCGCTTCAAGGGAAGAGCCAGAGGACCCTTTGCTGTGGGGTTTTGGGGGGCGGAGTGTTACCAGGGCAGAGAGATGCACCTGGGGAGGCCTTTCCAGGACGACAGCTATTGATGGGTGGAGTCCCTTTCATTCCCTGGGCTGTTTCTCCCATTCATAGCTTCTTATGAAATGTTTTTGCCCTGATGCTGCTACCAGGTTCTGTGGGTGATTTCTGTCCCTGTTAGGGTGGTCACTGAAGCCGAGAGCTGCGATGTACGTGGAAACAGCTCCACCTGCAGTCTTCTGCTTTCCCACACAGGAGCTTCCTCATCTGCCCCTGCCCACCTTTTGCAGCCCTTGCCTGCCATCACTGCCAAGGGCATGCAGCACGTGGTCCTGACTGGGCGGGGCCTGAGCCTTCCCTCTTTGTGTTCCCTCTCAGCCCTCCAGGAACTACAGCTGGACCCGGATCCCGGGGTCAGGCGGGCAGCCCTGGAGACACTCGAAGTCTTGGATAGCTGTAGTCAGCACAGGCTTCTGGCTTCACCCCAAGGAATGTCCTAGGTGGTCCAAACGTAAGATGTAAACTGTCTTCTTAGTGCCAAATGCCAGCCCTTTTAGTTTGTAAGAAGTTTAGTCTGTAGGAAAAACACTATTGTAAAATAACTAGTATCCTTTTCTTTCCTTCTGTTGAAATAAACCTCCATATTCACTGGAGTCTAGATGTGTGACTGTAAGGTGGTGACAGCCCAGAACCAAGACAATAGGGCAAAGGGAACTTCAGCCTTAATGAGCCACTTCATTTCCGATTTCCCCCCAAGTATGTGTGTCTGACAGCCCCTTGGCCCAAAGGGTCAGAAATTAGCTTTGTCTTCATGTCTTCATTCGTAGTTCGTCCACACACATGCTGACAGGGTGCCTAAGGCCAGGCACTCTGCCAAGCGGTGAGGGGAGGCCTAGAGTGTCCCGTCTGTCTCCAGGGACTCTTTTTTTTTTTTTTTTTGAGATGGAGTCTTGCCTGTCGCCCAAGCTGGAGTGTAGTGGTGTGATCTCGGCTCACTGCAGCCTCCGCCTCCTGGGTTCAAGTGATTCTCCTGCCTCAGCCTCCCGAGTAGCTGGGTGGTGCGTACCACCACGCCAGGCTAATTTTTGTATTTTCGGTAGAGATGAGGTTTCACCACATTGGCCAGGCTGGTCTCAAACTCCTGACCTCGTGATCCGCCCACCTTGGCCTCCCAAAGTGCTGGGATTACAGGCTTGAGCCACCATGCCCGACCGGGGCCCTTCTTAAAGGGAAAGGCACCTGACCACAACACACATCAGGAGGAGGACTGCAGCCAGGGTGGAAGTGCTACAGTGGCACAGGAGGGTGGGTGTGCAAGTCTGGAGACAATCCAGAAAGGCCGTATGGAGGAAGTGACATTTATTCCAGGCCCACCCTCATCTTTCCCTTTGAGGTCCAAAGTTTGGATTGTTGGAACCGGAGCCCAATGAGGCCTGGAACAGAATTTGGCTGCTGGTCAAAAAGGAGAAATTAGCCCCATGTCTAAGAACATGTAGCGGAAGAGAGGGGCAGTGTGGGGAAGGCTTTTGCTATGCTCAGTCCATCAGAATAGTCTAGGTGTCCCCAGAGCAGGTAAACCAGGACTTCCAAACTGTTCCCAGTACAACTGCCGAAGGAATTCACCATCTGGGGTCCCATCAACAGGAGAGAGCTGCTATGCTGTCCAAAAACCAACCCGTGCTAAAGCCTTCTTTGGAATAGTGGTCTTCAAACTGTTTTGTGTCTCCCACGGAGCAAATGGTGAACTGATTTCCTGCCAAGTGATGAAGAGTATTGCTGCTAAACAAGCTTGAACACCACTGATGGAGTGGCGAGGGTGCAGCATTCAATACAGTACAAGGAGGCAGCTGTACGTCTGTACAATTGGCTCTCCCTCCATGCCTGTGCAGAAACATTTCCAGATGGTTTATAGACCTAAATGGAGACAGCAAAATTTAAGACAGTACAGTATTTTTTATCCTCAGAGTATGGTAGTTTTTCTTTTAAAAGTAACAGCAGAAGCCAGAAAGAGGAGGAAGTTATCCGCCTTAGTATGTTCAGCGTTGCTAAAACAGAATACCAAAGGCTAATTTATACAGAAAAAGTTTGTTTAGCTCCCAGTTCTAGTGGCTGGAAAGTCCAAGAGCATAGCGTTGGCATCTGCTCAGCTTCTGGTGAGGGCCTTGTGCTATCTCAAGACACAGCGGAAAAGCAGAAAGGCGAGGGGGCAGGTGCAAAGGCAACCCGCTCTTGCAGAGAGTAAGAACTCACTCCTTCAAGAGGGCATTCATCTATTCATGGGGTGTTCACTCCCATGACCCAGAAACCTGCCGCTAGGTCCCACCCCCAACAGTTCCATCTGCAATTACATTTCAAGACAAATGGCATCCAAACCATAGCACTGTGTTAAAATGTAACTTCCATACAATAAAATACCACAAAGTTAAATGACAAATCATAGATAGAAATTACTTGCAACTTATATAAAACTGGATTGTTTCATATCATTGGATTCCGAATACATCCAAATCAGGAAAACAGAGGCAAATATAAAACCAGTGTCCTGAGGACATTTAAAAAACCAGGACTCACAGGAAGACATGCTCAACAAGTCATCAAGAGAAAGCAAACTGTGAAGCAACACATTTTATACCTGCCGGAGCTCAGACTGGCAGCAACTGGCAGCGATAATGTGGGGAAAAGGTACCTCTTATATTGCCGGATATTAGGCAAACTGGAGCAGCCCTTTGGGAAAGCAATTTGGCAATAACTAGTGAAGTTCAAGGCACACCCATCTGTGACCTGTAATTTGCCTCTAGGTGTGTGTGCGCCACAGATAATTGACACTTATGCATAAGGATCACGGGTGGGTTTTGCTCCCATCTGCAGACATCCAGGACAATAAACCACCTACAGAACTCAAAATGAGATGCCCACATCTATTAGCTCCTATCACATTCAGTCTCTCGATGAAACAAAACTGTAGCATACATACAGTATTAATTTACTCATCTAGTTTGAAACAGGGAGACTATACCATATATAGTCTATGGGTCCCTTATTGGCAGATCCTGTAAGTTGGCCAAGACCCATGCCCAGGTCCTTCTACCTCACCTTCCTCCACTGGATGACAGAACACCAGCCTCTCTGGCAGCCAGGCCTGGCCCTGCCAGCAAGGTGTCAGCAGTCGGCTGGGTGTTGGGGGAGGAGAGGCACAAGCACTGCTGGGTTGCAGTGATGGTTTTCCTGAAGAGGAAAGGATGGGTCATATTGTCCTTAGGAAGCAGCAGGCCTGAGGGAAGGCTCTAGATCTGTAGGGGCCATTCTGGCCCTGGCCCAGCCTGAGCCAGCATTACACTGCCGGCCTGTTCTTTGAGGAAATGAGCCGTCTGTGAGGTCTGCAGCACCTGGCCCGGTTCTCAGCTCTCAACAGCGTGCACCCTCCTTACTGACTCACAGGCTGTGGACTGAACTGGGTCCCTCAGGTTCATATGATTAAGCCCTAGCCCCTGGCATGATGGTAGTATTGGAGATGGTGCTTTCTGCAAGTGATTAGGTTTAGATGAGGTCCTGAGTGAGGGGCCCTTATGATGGGATTAGTGCCCTCCTAAGACACCAGAGACCTTGCTCTCTCCAGCACGTGGGGACACAGCAGGAAGACAGCTTTCTGCAAGCCACGAAGAGTCCTCACCGGAGCCCAACTATGCTGGCTCCCTTGTCTTAAACTTCTAGTCTCCAAAAACTGTGAGAAAATAAATTTCTACTGTTGAAGCCACCTGGTCTCCAGCATTTTGTTATAGCAGCCCGAGGACGCAGGCGTGCACGCGTGCACACACGCATATACACGCACATAACGTGGTCCCAGTGTAAGACATAGGGGGGAAGGGATATGGGGTGGGGTAGGGAGGTGATATCGGACATCAGGAGAGTAATCACCTGGGGAGGCAGGCAGGAATGAAAAATGTGTACCTCAATCTCATTTTTAATCTTTCATAAAAAAGCAACCCCAAACTCATATGGCAATATATTAACTATTTACGCCAGCATGAGTTTCACCAGTGTATTCTGAATATGTGAACTATTTCACTACAAAAACGTCACCATGATATCCTGTCATCAACAGCTTCAATAAGAATCGTGAGGAGTCACAGGTGCTGTGGCTGCAGGAGTGTCTGGGACCACCAGGACTGTTAATTTTCCCTCAAGGGTCATTGCATGCAGGGCTCAAACTTACGTCTCACAAGCAAACGACACTCTCAAATGACATGGGAAACAGGAGATTCTCTGGACATATCTAAATTTAAAAAAGAACACATGGCTGGGCGCAGTGGCTCACACCTATAATCCCCGCACTTTGGGAGGCTGAGGCGGGTGGATCACGAGGCCAGGAGTTCAAGACCAGCCTGGCCAATATGGTGAAACTATGTCTCTACTGAAACTACAAAAATTAGCTAGGCGTGGTGGTGTGCGCCTGTAATTCCAGCTACTTGGGAGGCTGACACAGAAGAATCGCTTGAACCGAGGCGGCGGAGGTTGCAGTGAGCTGAGATCGCGCCACTGTACTGCAGCCTGGGCGACAGACTGTCTCAAAAACAAGCAAACAAACAAAACCCCCCAAAAACACACACATTAGCAAAACAGGCCTATCAAAGAGAACCCTAAGAATTCTAACTGAGCAACTTTATTCACATAATTTCTACACCAAGAATTTGAGGGTCATCTCTGATGGAGCCAATTTCACTAATATTTGCTTTAAGGGCAGAGAAGTCAACCAAGTCCTCACAGTCTCAAGAATTAAAAACAAAAATACAAACAGAGAGCAAGTGGGAAGAGAAATAACACTCAAAATTACCTAGCTGCACACTTCTAGTTTTGATTTTTCTAGCACAAAATCACTTCTCTTCCATCCTGTAAGACATGTTCTTTCCTCTAGGGAAAAAAAAAAAAGACAAAGAAACTGATGTTAGCAAAATTCTAGTAGAATTCCCAACGCCAGCCACTAAAAGGTTAACTGTTTTCCACTTATTCCATTGCATGTATAAAAATACTTACAGAAAATTACGTTAAATAAGTAAATTATGTTAAAGAAACAACAAAAATATAATGGCGACCCCCCCACGCCGCCCCCCACACTCCCCCAGGCAGCACAAGCTGGTGGGGAAGTCCACCTCCCACACCCTGGCCCAGCTAGCGCCGCTGCGCGAGTGAATTTAGGAGTTCTAAGATTTAAGCTACTTTTCCGTATCTATTAAAAGGAGAGACAGCCTGCCTATTGGACAGAATCGATCTAATTAAGGGGTTCTGGTGGGGATTAAAGAAGATAAGGCGTAAAAATGGTTCAGCATGACCTGGCACACAGAGAGCACTGAGACGTTAGGCATGAAAACTCCATATGTAGTTGTAGCTCATGAAGATTTGGTCTCTTTCCTCAAGAAATTTATCATTTAAGCAGAAAAGCAGAAAAACATAGGAAACCAGTTAAACATGTTTATACTGTGGTTTAAAACAAAACCTGGGGTGCTCATGATTTGACTTGCTGTCAAATTCCAGGGCAGCTGGGAGCACCCTGCTGGGCCACCAAGGGTCAAGTCCTCAGGATGGTCTACTCCCCAGCCCCACAATAATGCAGCCTCACACCATTCTCCACAGGGCCAAGGTCCCTCCTGTGTGGCTGGGCCAGAAGAAAGCCCTTTAGGCTGAGCAGGTGAAAAAACAAGACAGGAGCCTCTGCACGGAGCACTGGGGCAGGATGTCACACATGGAAAGGGGTCTGCAGGCGACTGGCACGGTGCCAGCAGATCACAGAACAAGGTGGGAAAAGGCACGAGACAGAATCCCAGGGGCAGGATGATGGTAAAAGGAAGAGCTGGGGCACTACCTGAGAAAACACAGTTAGGTTTAGATAAGCAGGGCGAGCAGAGCAGAGGAGCTCTGATGTGCGGGAGGCAGGAGAAACCTCGGATCACTCTCTGGGCCGGAGAGTTGTTTTTGGTGAAATGCTCCCCTTTCAACTGAGAAAGAGACTCTTGAGAGGTCATCTGTTAAACAGAACGCATAAGCTTCGCTCTCAAAGCAGCCTCCACGAAGTGTCTGCCATGAAGATGCGGCTGAGATTCTCGAAGGCTTCACTAACTGGGGCTCAAAGCCACCCAGCCGGTGGTTTGTTCTGAAAAAGCCATGTGGGCACAGGAATGGGGCATCAGGCACACAGTTGGAGACCAAGACCCGAGGGAAAGACTCTGCTGTTAGCCAGGCACTGCCAGGGGAGGAGCTCCGCGGGCCCTGCCCACACAGTGCCCCCTGACCCTAGCCGGGCCCTGCAGAGAAAAACCCTTCCCATCACCTGAACACATATGAATGTCCATCCTCAACTGGGAAGACAGATGACAACAGATGGCTTGTTTCATCTGCTCCTGGTTAGTTCACACAGTATGACTTTATACACGAAAATAACTTTGAAAACCAAAACACCCAACAAAACCTGGGAGCTTCTAGAACTGAGCCAAGGAGCCTGAGCTGCTAACCTACGAGACTGGCCCGTGTCCAGACAGCTCCTCACTGCAGCACCCACCATGTGCTGGGAGGGTGGGGGTCACCTGCACGGAGCAGGCAGCTGAGCGGTGGGCGGAGTCTGGGGAGGACGTCTGGGGATGCAATAGCAAAGAACCAGGTAGTAGCGGGAGAATGCCAGTGAAAGTTCCCTGGAAGGGAAGGGCTGTCCCACGGCAGACCCTGGAGCGGGTGGCCCTGCAGCAGTCCAAGGGCATTGGGAAGACAGAGTCACAGTGAGAAAGGCGTCAGGCGGCTCAAGTCACAGGAGGCCGCTGGTGGTCTGAGAGTGTGGTCTCTGCCATGCAGAGGCCGGACTGCAGGCTGTGAAGGCAGGCGCCACAGAAGGAACAAGGCATACCACACCTTGGTTCTGAGCTGGACGGATGGCAGGAGCCAGCAGCTGAGAAGGGCTCACAGGCCAGGCGGGCCCAGGTGGGAGAAACAGAAAATGGGACATTTATGGCAGGCAGCGTCCACGCAAATGACCTCAAAGAGGCACATCGCCAGGGTAGGGCACAAGGGAAGAGGATACTGGACACAGCCTCATCTGCTGGAACCACAAACACATAAAACCCAAAGGAACTGGCCAAATCAAACCCACAGTCAAGTCCTGTCCACCTGTGGGTGAGCTGTGGCACTGAGCTTCAAAAGTCGCATCCTCCAGATCCTGGCTGTGGACACACAGACAAGCTGTGCTGGGGAATCCAGGCCTTAATGCCAACAAAGGGACCCACTCACACTGACCTACCCCACCACACTGTCGCTCGAGAAAAGGGCACAAGCAGACTCCAACTCTAGCTGACGTGATTCGCACAAACGAAGCTGCAGAGCAAGGTGCAGAGGTTTTCACACCGAGCACTGAGACGATCTGCAGGGCACCGCTCACACCTGTGAGAATGCTATACTCATGGCTCTCCCAGGCCACTCGTGCTCTGTCCCTACCAGGAATCCCGAAATAGACAGGAAGTCATTTGCTTTAGAACACTTTTGCCTTACAACGCTATTTTCTGAGTGTCAGATGAAGAGGTTAGAAATCAACGTTCGACAAAGATGAACAAAGTGTAGTAAGTGAGGATTTGTAGAAAACCACCTCTGAATGCATTCTAATGGAAAGCGTGTGAAACTTCTGCAAGAGCATCTTCTGCTCAACCTCGATGCATCTTACACAGGAACATGTTCTTGATATAGAAGATTTTACAGGAAGGAAAAGCATTTGGGAGAATGCTCGGAAAATGATCACGAATGTAAGAATTCGGTTGAGATTCACTAAAAGTGGCACAAAGGTTCCTACCATAAAAACCCTCTGTCCAAAGAGTAGTCACTCACATAAAACACCCACGTTCAACCAACAGAAACGCACCTTCCTCTCTTCTGAGTTGGGCTGTGAAGAGCTGCCCTGGTCTCCCGGTCTTACGATGTTGACTACCCCATCTGAGGCACCCTGGGAACTGGCCTGACATCCGGAGTCCTGGGGGTCTGACAGCCTGGGTCTTTTTGCAGGGAAATGATGGTCCCTCTTGGTGGCACGAGCAACACATGTAGATGAATGAGCCTCAATTGCAGTTGAGTCCAGTAGACTTTTTCTGCACCCCAGGGGTGATGATGGCAACTTCTGGAAACCCTGGAAGTGAGGGTCTGGATTTAATTTTCCTAAGAAGCCTTCTGTTTGATACCGAACTTCCAAACTTGCTTTACCTGTAGACACTTCAATACATGAAGGCGCCTTCATCTGCTCAGGAGATCTGAGGCAGTACTTTTGATGAAGCTTGTCAAATTCTTCTTTAATTTCATCATAACGATTCCTTCTGTGGCCTAGCACTTCTTTATCTGGGCCTGAAAGAGTTTTGATGGGTGACACTGACTTTCTAAATATTCCAGAACTGTTCCCTTGAACGTGAAGATCAGAGGTCTGTTGCAGGCGAGCTGGGCTGTGTGTGGGGTTGGCCTTTGGAAGTGAAGAAGAATTGCTCTTGGGCAGGCACCTACCCGCTTTCAGAGATCCTTTGGCCAGGTTTTCAAAAGCCTCGCTTAAACTTCTTGCTTTTGCTTTGCTGGAAGGTAAACTCAGCTTGCAGGTTTCTAAGCCCTGAAGGCCACCAGGACTCGCAGGACCCCCTTTGTACACGTTCATGGCCCAGGAGTCTGGGAGGCCCATCTGGGGAGGCTGGTTCCTGGGACTCAAGCAATATTCCCGATGAAGCTGATCAAATCGCGTTTCAATCTCCCTCTGACGGTTCTCTCTATGGCCCTGTTGTATTCTTCGTCTGGAAACTACTTTTACAGGAGAAATTAACCATTTTAATGTCCTAAATCTATCTTCCTGATCAAGATTATACGTTGCACTGGAGTTGAAATAAATCAAGGAAGAATACTTCGAGGGTGTCACTTTCAGCTCCTTCCAACTTGGATCTAACTTATGGATTTGGGGTTTGTTGACTTCAAGAAAAGCTTTTTCCAATTTTAAACCTGTCGTATGGCAAGGAACATCTAATACGTTCTTGCAATCTCTGATTGCTCCTGTGTCTTTCACAGGCTCACAGCAGGGTACAAAGTTCTCCTTGGAGCTCCTCTGAGAATGTCTGGCTCCTTTGCAATACGTTTTGTTCATCCTGCTCTTACCTCTGTGCCTCCTCCTGGAGTTCCAGTTTTGCATGATGAACGTTTTGGTGGAGATGATGCTTGATGGCTTTGTGCTCAACAGGCGGCTCATGGAGTGCAGCATCCCTGCGTACAGGTCACTGATGGTCACGTTGCAAATGTCATCGTCTTCAAAGTGCTGGCTGCTTAAGAAGCTGCTGCTACTGGTCTCTTGCAGGAAAAGGCTGTCATTTCTAGGTACTAAGGCCATGTCTGTGGAGGAAGGATGTGAAGGATCCCATTCTCTGAGAGATGAAGCTGGTTTTGCTGGGTCACCAGGACTCTTTCCGGAGACACGACTGTAGTATCCTGGGAGAAAAGATACACATAAAGTAAAGGTGTGTTACCATTCTAAACCATCCATGTGCACAGATGACAGAACTTAAGATTGGATCAGGACTATGTTTTTTTAAGCAATAGCAAAAACAAAAACACCACAAATGTGTAGGAGTAGACTCTTCTCAGAGATATTTTTTGCTATCAAAATTTGATTTCTACTCTCCACCGTACATTTCCCAAAGGTGTCTTCCTTTCCTTCTAGGCTGTTTAGAAGATGGATGCCTTTGCAGAAGCTAATTAGAAACTGAAAAATGACAACGCCGTTTACCTACAGGGATGGGAAGGGGCGTAAGACTTCTAAACAAACATCTTCATATAGCTTTGACTTTTGCATCATGTTAAATGTTTCCTATATGTAACCAACAATGATGGGGAAAAACCATAAAATTGAACACAAACAGAAAAAGAAAATTTGTATGTTAAATTGACAACTGAAAGAGAAAAAAGAGTCCAAATATGCTGAATGTCTGCCTCTTAAAGAGATATTGTCTAGGAATAAAAAGAGCTGCTTGGAAATGTTGAAGCTTACTTAGTACATGGTTGTGAAGAGTGGTAGCAGGTGCCACAATGCTAGAGTTATTTTGTGCTGCACGATTGACCAGATGAGCGAGTGTTAAGTCATTGTGGCTGGTGAGAACAGGGAGAGGAAAATACGGCGTCAGGGCAGGGGTGAAAAAATGCTCAAAAAATCATGGGGTTGCACCACACGACACAAAAGCCAGACTGAAAGGGGCTCCCTGACAGCTAAATCTGGGACCACTTGAGTGTCCGATTGAATACTGGCAATGGATTATAACGTGGGAATCAAAGAACAAGAAGACTCGATGAATTCCTGATCCTAAAAAGTAAAAATAAATCAAAGCATGAGAGGGCACTACAGGAAGCAAAAAAAAAAAAAAAAAGGACCAGAGGGGAGATAGCTCTTTTCAACAGAATGCCAACTGACGTGTGCCAAGGAACAGCAGAGACAGAAACAACCTGGGCGGGGACGTCCACCCAGGCAATCCACATTGCTGGCTTCTAAGTCACTGGGTGAGAAGTTTTTAGAGAAAAGGTTCCTAGGAGATCTCAAAGAATCACACAGATGACTCCAAGGAAAAAGGGCCTGTCGCAATGAGAAACATTGAATTAAGGTCTTACCTGAACTCAATGACCAGCCTCAAAAGTCACCAAGAATGGGACAGACTGACCAAATGTTCTCAGGACAAGTCATCCCTGTAGTAATTTTGCCAAATATGTTTAACATGAACCTAACCATGAGGAAGCAATCAGGTCCAAATTCAGGGACATTCTGCAAAACTACTGGCCTGGGCTATTCAAGAAAGGCTATAATATGAAAGGTGGCCACGAGGGAGAAAAGGTCAAGGAGCTACTCTTGATGGAGGGAGACTAAACGCAACAGTGGTACCAGCCTGAATGGGTCTGGAAACGGTCAGGCAAACCAGAAAGGCTGCAAAGGCCATCATCGGCACAATGGGTAAAACTGTACTGCATCAATGTTCAATTTCTGGCATGTGTTAAGGGTACCATAGTCATAAAGGAGAATGACCTGACGTTTGGAGGTATGTGTGAGGCATTTAGGGATAAACGCATACACAAATGCAATAGATACACACTGTGTGTGTACACGTGTTGGGGGTGATAAAGCAAATACGACAACGTGTTAATTGTGAAACAGGTGAAGCATGTTCACTGCACTAGTCCTGTGCTTCTGGAGATGCAAAACTTTTCAAACTAGTACATTGGAATAAAGAGCAGACGCGCAGAGGAGAAAACAGCTTATTTCAAAACATCTTATCTTCCAGTGAAATGCAAGTGTATCTCTAACAATTTATGTTGATGAAACACGCCAGGAAATGATGGCGTGGCCAGCGTGAGCAGCTCTGAGGGGCCACACAGCTCCAATGAAAGTGAAGGAGACATGCACGGTTCATAGAGTTTCTGTGTCGCACTCACCAGGGGCAGGCATGGCAGGCGAGGCCAGTGAAGGCGGTGGAGTCACATGTGCATCCTTTCCAGCTCTGTCACCTGCATACTGAAATCAGAGCCAGTGGTTACAAGAAAAAAGTTGCCAGGTGTCAACTGGGTGCAAGGAGCTGGGTTCTCCCGACAACGGGGACTGTGCATCTTAATACAGCCGCGCCGACGAGCGTGTGAATGTGGTGACAGTGGCCAGCTAGGCTTCGGGCAGTGGTAAGAAAAAGTGTCCTACTAAGATCTGGACACTTGATGTGGTCTCCAGGACAGCTTCCAGCCACAGTCATCACTCATCTGCTAGTAACTTCTTATCCCAGGGGCGCTGGTAGCTTTCTTGGTCTACCATTATACTCGGACCGCAAGAACACCTAGGGGTCAGATGGATGGTGGACAAAGAAGACCCGATAGATCCATTCGTTCCTAACCCTAATCTGTTCCCTGGATCAACACAGCAACTACGAGGGTACCACTTGCTGCCTTGGGTTAAAGGAAAAAGCATTTCAGGTACATCCACTAAGTCGATGGTTCCAAATACAGGCTTTCCACTGGTCAGGAGCACAGTAAGAAAACACATACACCCCTGTGAGATTGCTGCCTTTTTTTGGAGATGAATTTTTATTCTGCAATGTGTACTTTCTAGGTATCTGGTGTTGCAATGTCACTTATTCTATGGCAGAAGGCACTGACTTTAAGAGAGGGGTTGGCAGGTGAGCGTGCCCACCTCTCAAACCATCACATCCTCCCCCCAACATGACCTCTCAGCAGGCGGGACAGGTGCCAAGGGTCAGCCACCTCACCTTGCAGCTGATCCTAGCCTGATCACACCAGGGAATGTGGGGACTACTGCTTCCCTAACTGTGCAGCTTCAAATCCTGGTCCAGAGGTTGGGGCTGCTCTTAAGAGTCTCATGTGTGGCCCCACTAGTTTTTTTTTTTTTTTTTTTTTTGAGACAGAGTCTTGCTCTATCACCCTGGCTGGAGCACAGTGGCGCAATCTCAGCTCACTGCAACCTCCGCCTCCTGGGTTCAAGCGATTCTCCTGTCCCAGCCTCCCGAGTAGCTGGGATTAAAAGCGCCCGCCACCACACCCAGCTAATTTTTCTATTTTTAGTAGAGATGAGGTTTCACCATGTTGGTGAAACCTCCTGACCTCAAGTGACCCACCTGCCTTGGCCTCCCAGAGTGCTGGGATTACAGACGTGAGCCACTGTGCCCAGCTGCCCCACTAGATTTTTCTGTGAGCTGTCCCAGACTAGTGGGCAGAGCGCCTCTGCCAGGGTTCCCACCTTCCTGATGGTGCTGCCCTGGGGATCCTAGAGTGTTTATTCAAGAAGAGCAAGTATGTCAGCATGTGAATAAACAATTTGGAAATCATTACTTCAAATGCTCTTTACGGGTTCTGCAGAAAGTAACAAAAAGCGTAAAAACATCACACCTCAATGTGTTTATGATCTAATTATGTAAAAACAAATACTGGGAAACAGATTACCTCAAAATACTCTGCACTTTGTAGGAGTATATCCACTTGCGTCAAGTATTTCCTTCTTAACTCATTTTTCAAAGGGCTTTGAGGCACTGCAGGCTGATCAAAAAAGAGAAGTCAGAATTTTTAAGAGCTTCTGAGTGCACCTGACATTTTGTATTCTGGAACCAACTGGCAAAGTTCACTAATGTACAAATCTTTACATGATGCTACTCAAAGTCACTTTTGCCTCCATGATGTTATTCCAAGTCACTTTTTCACCTCTTGCTGTGTTAATAACCCAAAAGAATGTGAAAAGACAAAACAAGAATAAAATAAAAACCATGTCTAGAGAAGTTTATGACAGCATTTCTAGACCAGAAAACAAAATCATCTGAATATTCATAGGTGAGTTCGGGACTCAACTACTGGTAATAACCTCAAACTGGTAAGTTTATAAAAAATTCAGTGCTCCTGGCTGGGTGTGGTGGGTCACGCCTGCAATCCCAGCACTTTAGGAGGCTGAGGCAGGTGGATCACTTGAGGCCAGGAGTTCGAGACCAGACTGGCCAACATGAAACTGTCTCTACTAAAATACAAAAATTAGCTGGGCACGGTGGCAGGTGCCTGTAGTCCCAGCTATTTGGGAGGCTGAGGCAGGAGAATCGCTTGAACCCAGGAGGTAGAGGTTGCAGTGAGCTGAGATCGCTCCACTGTACTCCAGCCTGGGTGACAGAGTGAGACTCCATCTCAAAAAAACCAAAAGCAAAAAACAGAAATTCAGGGCTCCAGCTCAGGAGGCTCTCCTACCCCTCCCCTGCCAGACACTGGAAATAGAGGGCGTCACCCTCCATCCTCTGCTGCATGGCACTGGCACTTTGGTTCTTGACTCTTGGCACCACCCCCTTCCCCTCTGCTGCCAATCCCTACACAGTCTCTCAGTGAGCACCCACTTTCTTCCCCAGGACCACTGCCTCCTTTTTCTTAGTTACTGAAAGTTACACATGGGTGCGTGGGAAACCCTTTGCACAAAAGCAGCAATTTTAGAGGAAAACCATGCACCAGCTATTCTAGCAGGAGACAGGGTGTGACACGGGGGCCAGGAAAGACGCTAGAGTCGGTTAAGCTCTGTGTAAATTCTCATCTATCCCAACCAAGGAGGATAAGATGCACATCCTGTAAGAAAACGGGTGGTTTCTGTGACCTCGGGGCATTCTGGGAAACAGACATATAAATGACACTGTTTACGTGACAACTGCCCAATGAGGCGACCTTGTGACTTGAGGCATTTGACGGCAGACCTGGAAATACTTTCTAGAACACCTCTCTTTTGACCCTGCCCCTGTGGGGGAGACTGACCAAGAGCCCAACTTCCCTGTCGTGTGCTCATCCAAGCAAATGGCGCCCTGCCAACCACACTGACAGCTTTATCTGCAGAGTGAAAATCATCATGAATCAGGCTTGCACTATGGGTAGAACTGGCTGCCAAGTGCTAGACTGAGAGGAGGACCTTATCGCTGAAGGGAATCCGGACATGAGGAAACCTGAGACTTGGAAGTAACAAAAGCCAGCCTCAGGAGAGGACTTCCAGAAGGCTGCAGGCAATGCTGCCCGCCGCAGGCCACAAGGGCTTTGCTGGATCCACCCCTGAGCCTCCAAGCGCCCCCTCTGTCCATTCATTAGTAAAAGCAGTACTTACTGCTAAGGCCCAAGCAACTGACTCTTCCTGGTCTGACGTGGCATTGATATCTCCGCTTTTTGAATCTAAAAGTCAAACAAGTAAATCTCAATCAGGATTTTCAGGAAAGAGTGCATTTTCCTCTCAAGGATGGTTTTGGCATCACTTCGAGTAATTTCTACAGTAAAAACCCCCATTGTTTCAAGGGTGCACCCATTGGAGCCATCTACGGCTGCCCGTGGTTCTTAGTAACCCAGAGAACCCCTTAGAATGAGAATCTGCCTGGGGCCATGGAGTGAGGAAAAGCAGATTCTGCACCACCTCCAGCTTTCCATGGCCTCTGAGCCTGGAAGTTGAGACATTCAAGCCCAGCACCGCTCAACAGAACTTCCAGTGACCATGGAAAATGGTGTGTGCTGTCCTAGACCAGCCACTAGCCACATGGGGCTACTCCAGCTGGGATGTGGCCAGTAAGGTGGAGGAAATGGATTTTAAATTTTATTTAACTTTCAACTAATTTAAATATCATTCAGAGAGGGCTGGTGGGTGCCATACTGGGCAGTACAGCTGTCAAATAACTATTTCCTGTGATGTCAAGCAGTCAGGGAAATTCATGGATCTAAGGATTTAGAGTTAAAATCTGGATTAATAGCAGTAAACACATAGCACCACAGGTAAATATCCTCATGAAGAGCTTTCCAATTCTACTCTAAAAGACCACCAGCTTCCTTTTAGTGACTCAACACCCATCACTAACTGTAGGTGCAGGCAAGGTGCCAGGGAAGGGGCTGGGCAGAGTGGACAGAGGCTGCAGAAGGCCAGTGTCCAGGTGTTTAAAGGCTAGTGACAAAACTGTTTCAGCAAAGGAACCCAGGTTTAAAGAGCTTAGATAAGACTGGGGGTCTGTTTATCCGGGGGCAGTGAGGAGGCCATGTGTTCAGGCAGGCCCTCAGGCCCCATTCTGGGTTCTGGCCTTTTACCCCAAAAGCAACGCAAAGCCATGTGTTCCACCAGAGAAGCGGCCTGACCACGTTCACAGGTGCGTCAGTGGGGCAGAGGGAGCCCGGGTGGAGATGGGGGCTGGTGCTCAGCGGGGACATGAGAGCTAACAGGGGACATGAGAGCTAACGAAGCACAAGGCACAGGACAGGGATGCCTTGGCCATGAGGAATGAGGCAGAGGCTGAGATGAAGAGGACCCTGGGTTTCTGGCTCACACTAGAGGGAAGACAGTAGGGGCCTGTAGTGAGGCACAGAGCAGAAGATGGGGAGCCGGTCTGTCCGGCTGAGCCTCAGCTGTGCCAAGTCTGGACATGAAGTATTGAAGCAGAGGGGCTGCTAGGCAGTAAAACGCCTCCAGTTGAGGTCTGGCTGGAGGTTATAGTCAGGAGGAGCATGGGGCCAAGGAGCAGGGGGCCACAGAGGCCCAGGCCAGAACTTCCAGAAGGTTTAAATGCTATGGAGAGGGCAAAACCCAAATAATAAAACCCAAAGAATGCCAACAGGATTTAGCAACAGGGTTGCGAGAAACCTCACCCAGAGTTGGGCTTTAGAGATGGAGCCAGGATGGAATCGGCAGAGGAGGAACGCATAGGGTTGGTGGGGTAGGGAATCCATGACAGCAAATGGAGCAGGTTATTTGACTCTGGTTGTAAATGGAACTGGGCAAAGGGAGGTGGCAAGGAAGGGGCCCAGGACAGGGGAGAGCCACGAAGGGTCTGATGTGTCTAAGGTGAGGCTGGGCGCATCTAAATACCAATGGATGGATCCAGGGGACAGAGACTAAAGACAGAAGGAAGGGGTGAGGGACAGATTCCTGAGAAAAGAGGACAGGATGGGGTTGGGGAGTGAGACTGGCCTGGGGAAAAGGAAGGAGCCTCCTAGGAGGATGAGGTGGGAAGTTTCCCTATAGAAGTGAGAGTTCACAACACCACCTTGTAGGGGCAAATCTTAACTTATTAAATCTGCATATTAACTTTTCACATGGAGGGGCACGTTTATTTACTCAAGAAACACCTGAGTACCATTCATATGTCAGGCACTGGATGTAACTGTGGGGAAGGCAGAGTCAGAGGAATCAACAGTGTACTTGAACATATTTTAGTTTTTAAGATGTACCTTAGAAAAAATAAAAACTTTATTAATGAGGAATCCAGGCTTTCAGCTGTTGTAACAGGCGCATCAGGCCTGGTCCCCCGACCTCAGTTCTCTGACGAAGGCGACACTCACCGGCTCCCAGGACTGTGTGGTGCGAGGAAAACTCAGGACCCCGGGCTGCAGCTTGCACAGAGCCATCTGTCCTGTCCGCGGGCCTCACGGGGGAGTCCTCCAAGTGCAGACGCCAATAAAGACATGGTTGTTTGAGTGACAGCACATTTCAAAGTCACTGTAAAGTAATAAACCTGCAATCCTTCCGTTAACACAGGAGATAGCAAGAGCCTACCACAAGGCTTCTCTTCTCCCTGTATGTCCACTTTATAAGAGGCCTCAAGAGCGCAGGAGGGAGCTGAGGCTCCCTTCCGTTGCACCGGGAGCTGCTACTTAAAAAGCCACTTGGAAGGTAGGGAAGGAGCAGGGAAAGTCAGGGGCCCAGGCACAAGCAGATAAGCCCACCCCTCCTAACACTGGCCCAGGGATGACAGGGTCTGGGGCAAACCAAAAAACAAATAGGAACGAACAAAATTGTCCTGAGGTCATCAGTGAGAACATAGAAATAGTCGAGTGGCCCCCAGGGGACTTCCTGTGATCTTTAAAGAATGTGCTAGAGTATTTAAGGTGGGGAGGAGCCAGTTTCAGCCCAAGCCTCACGCACAGAGGCAGCTGCTGTCCCGACCAGGAGCTCACACCTGGTGGGCAGGGCTGGTCGGGCGGCCACACTCCTGGTCAGGCCTGCTTCAGCTCTCCAGAGCCTGCTCTACAGCACGTCCCACAAATAATCCCAGCGAATGGCATCGGTGGGTTCTCAGTGAAATTCAAGCATTCAAGATACCAGATTGGCTAAAATATTAATATTTTAGGAACCACCCAGCCTTATAAGAACAGGGTGTGAGAAGGTGGTGAGGCCTATACCATTAGGGATGGTCCTCAGGTGTCAACTCTGAGGGTTCAGAGGACTTGGGGCTACCCAGGAGCACTACAGGGTAACTGAAGCCCACTTCTGGAATATCAGAACCTTTGCTTCCAGTGAAACCATCATGTAAGATGGAGTTCACAGAGTTGTTTTGTGGTGGTGTCTGAGGCAGAATCTGGTTTGAGAATCACAGAGAAGCAGACGATCTACAACAACCCCAAACTACTTGGTAGCTCTGGTAGCTACAAAGAGAGCCCAGGCACTGTGTTATAACCAACCCAGCACAGGTCAACGCCCGGCCTGCTAGGGCCCACAGCCTCCCCCAGCACCCAGGGCAGCAGGAGCACCAAGTCGTCTGGGAAAAGGTGAAAACAGATCTGGGCACTGTCACCAACAGCAATTACAGTGAAGTCAGATATGTCCCAGCTGAAATCTCAGGCTACGCCCAGTTTCCTAATCCCAAGAAAGGGTCTGAAGATTCTGGAGACCCAGGGTAGGGGTCCTCCTACATTTTAAACACAAATCTTAAATAAATCTTCAAATGAAAACTTGTTGCCACCAGGACCATATAAGCACTGGTCTGATGAGTGCTCATCTCTATTATGTATAATTCAAAGAGTATATATCCTTTAAACCAATAATCCCACTTCTCAGAATTTACTGAAAAGGGGAAATATCAGTATTGGGAAGAAATAAGGACCAGGATTTTCTTTGAAAACCATATCTAACAGAGGCTTTATAAATAAAGTTTTATTGGAACACTGCCACGTACACTCATTTACATATTATTTTCGGCTGCTTTCCCCCTGCAACACAGAGCTGAGTAGTTACAGCAGAGACCATACAGCCAGCAAAGCCTAAAATATGTACCATCTGACCCTTTGTGGAAAAAGTGTGCTGACCCTTATTTATTAATAAAGGAAGCCACAAATAGCTAATTGCCTATCAACAGGAGAGCAGTTAAAAAAACATGATTTTTAAAATAATTATATAATTTTATAATTATACAATAGTTGATGAAGAGTTCGCCATATGTATTAACTGGAAAAGTGAAGGAGAAAAAAATGCATTTATGAAGATGTGTATTATAGGGAATCACATTGTACTAAAATAGCATTAGTGACCATCTTTGCAGAGAGAAATCAGCTCATTTATGTAGTTGTATGTACTTTTAACATTTCCATGACTAGAATAATTAATCAAGAAGATTTGATTTCAAATTTGCTGTTAATACTATGTCACCTTGACCTTGATGTTTCCATTCTTGGGTACAGGTTCCTTGACCTGTGACCACAGGGAGGAACGACGTGGCATCTGAGAGGCAGTGATTAATTGAATACCAGACAACCTTGCAAAAGCCACTGTGGCAAAAGGGCTCCTGGATGTCCCCGTAGAAAGGCCAACAGCACCTTCCACTAAAATAATGGGTCTCAGAGCTGCAACACCCTCGGAACAACTAGGCAGGGAAACCTGGGTCTTCGGAAGGTAGACAAATGCAGAGGGAAAGATGTGTGATCCTCCAGGCCGCACCTCCCCTCATCTCTCTTCCTCCCCTTTCAAAACAGGAAGAGAGACATTCTTCTTCCCTAGAAGGAACTGGATTTGGTCTTTTCTGTGAGCCCCTCGCTGGGCTGGCATGTGGCCTTGGGGAGGGTTACCCAGCTGGCCCAGCCTCTGCATGTGTGTTATCAGAGCCCCTCAGCCTGTGACACAGGAAACACAGGGTGACCAAAAAGGCCAAACATTACACAGTGCCTCCTTGCACTTGACAAGCTACAGAAGAAACGCTTCTAAATCCTTAAAAACAGAAAAAGAGTATAATCAAGGTGAGAAGTGCCCCGTGGTGGCCTCTGCATAAGCTCAGAGGTTGGGCACACCCACACCTTTATTCACATCAATGCTCCTCCACAGCAAGGTTATGTGGCAATAAAATTTGACACTAAATACCTGGATCTCTCCTTCGTTTCTTTCCTTTATTAGTCTTCCACCCCAAATTCTCAATCCTGAAGAAAAGAAAAATGACCATTGACATAATCCTGAACGCTGAACTTCTGCTCAATCTGTGTTCACTGGAAGCCAAAGTGACAGGCAAAAAAAAGGTACAAAATTAAAACCAAGCCAGGCTTCTGATACCCTGCTGTTGTTCCTCTTTGTAAAGTTTCAGGTTTTTAAGGCAAATGTGTCATTGATGGAACTCTCTCTTACCTACTAGGCAATGGCTCATCAAATTACATCACTAGCCCAAAGAGTTACATGAAAACAAGGAACATATGTGACAGCGACTGTCCTTAAAATACATAAAGAGAGGACAATCTATATACTATTTAGAGGGAGTAAGCACTTTTCGCAGGCAATCTCTACATCCCATATACGGAATGAATGCTTTCTAAGGGCAATTTACATGTTACACAGAGACCTGCCACTGGAATATTTTAGTTTCTGCCTATGTAAACTTTTCACCCAAGATGCGCCTGGATTGGTTATAAAGGCGGAAAGGTAGGATTTCTTTTAATTCAAGGAGCAGATCTTGTGAACCTTTTGTGCCCGTCTGTTTAATGCAACACAGAACGTGCTGTGAGGTTTGTTTTCATTAAGTGATACTGAGTTAGTTATAAAGCTATACGGGAGGAATTGACCCCAGCCAGTGCAAACTGTCACCAGCTATTTACCAAAAAGAATCCACAAGATTTCAGTCCGTTTACATTAACTATTAAACGGAATGCCTTCTCCCTATTCAAGTACTTGGAGCCTCAAGGAAGACAATTACTACTCCAAGTTAAACAGGGCAAACAATAGTCAGAGTATTGGCAGTGGAGGGTGGGTACTGTTCCCAGAGTTTCACAGGGATTGTACGTAACTGTTACAACACCCCTGCCCAGGAGACATTATTGTCAGCATCCTTCCCATTTCACAGATGAAGACACTGAGACCAGTCCAGCTAAGCAACTGCCCCGAGCTGCCATGGTGTGGAGGTGGCCAGCGGGGATGCCAACCCGGCAAGCCGGAGGCGTGCGAGCCAGGAGGCACCTATGTCCCTTCAGGAATTGTTTTAATAAGTAATCCAAGTAATTTACAGGTTTAAGGGCACCAATGTTTTGGTTCCTATTAGGTGAACAATGTTTACTTCCTAAAACAGCAGTGACAGCATTTCAACTACTCCATTCGCACTCTTCACCCGAATACTCAGAAGGGGAGGATGACACTTACCCTGTGGCGTCTGGTAGGTCAGCGTGGCCATTTGCACCACCGGGGTGTCCTCGAAGGGCTGGTTGTACTGTGGAGGAGGAGGGGTTTCCTGTCAGGTCCCAGGGGCCTCAGACCCGGGCGGAGGCGGCGCCAGCCCGCGAGAGGCCGTTAATCTGGCCTGGGGCGCCCCAAACGCGGTCTCCGCAGCGGAGTCCGCAACCCCGCCTCTCTCGTCCCACTCAGGAGCCCCCCAGCCCCACCAAACCCTCCTCTCTGCACCCGAGCCCCAGTCCCGCTTCCCCACTCCCCGCTCCGGAGACCCCAGTCTTTCCTCCCCGTCCCCGCTCCGAAGCCTTCGGCGCTGCCTCCTCCTTCCCTCTCCGGAGCCCCCAGCTCCGCCTCCACCTTCTCTCCGCACCCAAGCCCCAGTTTCGCTTCCCCAGCTCCCGCTCCGAGCCCTCAGAGCCCCTTCCCTTCCCGTCCTACGTCCCCTCCCAGCCTCACTCCGACCCGCAGGCCTCCCCTCCTGGCGGACCGGCGGGGGCCGCACCTTCTCTATCAGCAGCTGCATGCGCCTCTGGAAGCGGCGGCGACTGGCCCTGAGTTTCTGCAGCAGCGGGTCGTCTTCCACGTCCTCGCTCTCCATGGTGCGCAGCGGACCCAGAATCGGACCAAGCCGCAGACTTAGCCGCTACCCCAGCGGCGACCCGGACCGCAGGGCCCGGCGCGCCGCACACTCAAATAAGCGACTTCGCCCTTCCTGCCTCCCTCTCGGTTTTCTATTGGCCAGCGCGGAGAAGCCGGGCGCTGATTGGGCCTTTCAAACAAATTTGCATCCCTCCTCCCGGCCAATCCACGCCCGAGTTTCCAGCCACGCCCCAAGAAGCGTGTCCGGCGGAAGGGAGGGAGGGTCTCCGGTAGCCCAGGTGGGTGGAAGTTGCTCCAACGGCTCTGTGCTTGTTAATCAGCGGGGCTGTGCGAGATCCGGTGGGATGCGTGTCATCCCCCGCGCTGTGCACCGGAGATAAGTACGGCCTGGAGATTTCTGCGTGACTTGCTCTAGGTGTCGCCGCCGGGCGGGGGCCGCCTTCCTCACTCGCCCGCCTGGGATCCCGGCGCGGTTTCGAGGGCAGGGGCCTAAGAAAGACAACCCCAAATTACCAACCCAAAAGGAGGCAGGATAGCGAATATTCATCTAGAAAGAAAAAATAAGTCTCAACGAATGACACATTTAAAGATGCTGACAAATGCCATACACATCACAAAATCCAGGAAAATACTTGTATTAACCCACCTTTTTCCCCATGTATTTCTGATTGCATATTCTGCTTCTTCATTGATATTAATCTTGTAATATTTTCTCCAGAGAGAAGCGCAAGATAAATCAGTCTTTAGTATGGCTGATGGAATTTGTGATTGACATCTTAGGAATGTCAATCCTAAGGAAACACAGGGTGACTTAACCACATTTGTGTGCTTGCGCTAATGTGATTACCATAGCATGTGATTGAAAATAAAAGCATTACTGAGCACCAGGAGGTCCCTTAGAGGGGGATCTTCACCTCCTTTCAGACTGCACGGCAATTCTATCATGATGTCCTGCAGAAATTTAGGTGGGGGTGGAGGGAGCGTGAGAACTTTGGGGCTCATGTAGTGTGTGTGACCACAAAACGTGTTGCGTTGTGCTGGACACAGAGATGTGCTGGCCTGATTCCCCTTAAGATGTCACAGCTGCTGGGAGGGCAGTTGGCCGGGGCCTTCAGTTGTCAGCCTATTCTGGGACGATTCAGTCGCACAGAACTCCCTCACCCAAGATCCTGCTGCCCCAGGGTGGCCCAGCGCCAGTGACTGATCCAGGTGGGAACAGGAAGGCTGTAATATTTCAGTCTGATGGAAGAAAACCCTGGGCCACTTGATCTTCCGAGCTCTCAATTCCACGGAATTGGATGGGGTAACCTACCAATCCTGTTTCTTTCCCTCCCTTCCTCCCTATATAAACATCCTCTCAGTCTTCTCCAGTTGCAGGATCTACACATTTAATTTGTATCTTTTCCAATTTTCGCAAACAGGCTGAGGTGTCTTCCTCCTCCTTCCTTAGGAGTGTTCGGAAACTTAACATGTTCTTCCTCTGACTCTGTGCTTCCACACATAATTTACTTTTCAAACATCTAACTGGGCCCATTTAGAGACTTGGGACCTTGAATAAGATGTTTTTCTTCTTGGGTTTTGGACGATTGACTCTTTCATTGTTACCAGATAGAGCTGTCCAGGTTCTTGGCATGTTGAACAAAGAATTGAACAAAACACACAAAGTAACAAAGGAATGAAGCAACGAAAAACAGAGCAACAGGAGAACGGAGTAAGGAGAGCACAGATTCATTGAAGAGAACTCGCAGAGTGAGAGCGGGCTAGAGCACCTGGCTCAAGAGCCTCTTCAATTAGGGCTTTTATAAAGCCAAAATAACTTGGCAACACCCGGGGTACCCTTTAGAGGCCTCCAATTGGTTACACCCTATGAAGGATTGGTCTGCGACCAATCAGAGCCTAAAGTGGAAACTTGGCCTGCAGTTATTCAGGGGCTGAAGTGGAAACTTCTTTCTTGTTATCACAGGAGTGAAGATGTGGCCTATGTCCTGCCCAATCTTGCTTAAAACTGGCTGCACCTGCTGTTCTCTTGCTTCTGTGAACTGGCTGCATCTGCTATTACTTTGCTTATGCCTCAACCCTTGGCTACCCCAGTTCCCTATTCTCCTGCCTCACCATGACTCTAACAAGCACAATAGTACCAGTTTTCAAAACTGGCGTCTCCCAGGGCTTATTCTCTATTCCTGGGAAACCATTCCAAGGTTTCCCTTCCTGGCTTCACTGACAATCCAAGCATCTGCCTCTGTCCTAGGAGTTTGGGGGCAGCTTCAGTGGAAAGGTTTCTCAATCTCAAGTTCAAGTCTTTAATTGAAGTCCAAAACCTACTTGCTTTAGCCAAACTCCTTCTGAGCCAGCCAGAGTCCATGCATTAACCCTTACTGTTCTGGCCTGCTGGTCTTCCAATCGTCTCTGACTGGCTTTCCCCATCCCATGGTCCAAAGTGGTGCTCCAGCTAAGGAAAGAAGAACCCTGCACCATGCTTCTCATGTGATGCTGTAGCAGGAGAAGCCACAGACAAAACCCCTCAGACACCGAGTTAAAGAAGGAAGGGCTTTATTCATCCGGGAGCTTCGGTAAGACTCACGTCTCCAACAACTGAGCTCTCTGAGTGAACAATTCCTGTCCCTTCTAAGGGCTCACAACTCTAAGGGGGTCTGTGTGAGAGGGTCGTGATCAATAGATCATAGGGTACGTGATCTGGGGGCTGCATGCACTGGTAATTAGAACGGAACAGGACAGGGATTTTCACAGTGCTTTTCTATACAAATGTCTGTAATCTATAGATAACATAACCGATTAGGTCAGGGGTTGATCTTTAACTATCAGGCCCAGGGTGTGGCGCCGGGCTGTCTGCTTGTGGATTTCATTTCTGCCTTTTAGTTTTTACTTCTTCTTTGGAGGCAGAAATTGGGCATAAGATAATATGAGGGGTGGTCTCCTCCCTTAATGCCATTCTCTATAATACCTCACCCCACCACCCTTGGCTGCCTAACCATATTACTCCAGACCTGCTAAGCAAACTCCTTCCCCACCACTTTCCACTCTCAAGTAACAGGGAAGGATCACAAGTCAGCTCCTTCCCCAGCAGCAGGTTTCTGGGCACAGCATCTTGGAATCACAGGTTTCCAGAGATGAGGGTGGGTTGCTCTGGCTGCACCTGCACAGTGCCCTCTACTGGCCGGGCTGGGATTTCCAACCCTCCAAGTGCTGTTTAAATGGCTAGGAAGTAGTGCTCATTAAAGTTGTATTACGGCTGCTCTTATAAAATGTGCCTGAATTTTGCTTCAAATAAAAGAGATGGAGACTTATTCTGCATGGAGTTGTCATGTAAATATGTTTCTGTTGGAAAGGTGTGGAAATGTTACCACCAGTCGGTGGTTGGAGAAGCGCAGCTTTTGCCTGGTCCCAACATTGACACAGAAACTGCTATGTAAAGGTGAGAATGTCAGTCTGGGATAAATTATCACAAACATCAGACCCCACCCATTAGGCTGCTAAGAAAAGGGTTTGCTCTTTTCTGTTGCCCTGGAGCTGATTGATGCAAACACAGAGGCTGTGAAATAGGCAACAAGCTAACTTTCCATGAGGTGTCAGTCAAAGCTCACAAAATGTGTTCATTGTTTGATTTAACGAGTCTCACATCTATCTAACTGAAGTAATTAAGGATGTTGGCAAGAAGTTAGTTGGAGGATCTTTTGTGAAGCAGTTTATAAAGTCCAATACTAGAAGGATGGCAAAATAAATGGTGATACTTGTGTTTTATTGCCAGCAATTTTGAAAAAGTGTAATTATTGATATCAAAATTCTATATGATCTTTTTAATACAAAAAGGTTATAAACCTGTATTATACGTCTGCATTTTAAAAGTATATATTATATAAAGTATGATTATACATGTTTTAAAAGTGTGAGTATGTATGTCTCAGAATGTTTCCAGGGCCATCTCTGGATGATGGTGTGATGAATTATTTTTAATATTAGTTTTCCTTAGCTGCATTTTCTAGAATGAGCATTTGTTGTGCAATTATGAGTTTGCATTACTGATGTAATTAGAAAACACAGAGGGCCAATTGTCTTAGTTCATTTTGTGCTGCTATAATAAAACCTGAGAGTAATGAACCTGTAATTTATAATGAACAGAAATTTATTTCTCACAGTTCTGAAGACTGGCGAGTCTCAGACTGAGTGATTGGCCTCTGGTGAGGGTCTGAGTGATTGGCCTCTGGTGACGGTCTTCTTGCTGTGCCACCTCATGGTGTAAGGCAGAAGAACTCTAGAGACCAAGAGAGAGCAAAAAGGAGCCAAACTCTTTTTTTTTTTTTTTTTTTTTTTTTGAGACAGAGTCTCGCTGTGTGACCCAGGCTGGAGTGCAATGGCGTGACCTCAGCTCACTGCAACCTCTGCTTCCTGGGTTCAAGCGATTCTCCTGCCTCAGCCTCCTGAGTAGCTGGGACTATAGCTGCATGCCACCACACCTGGCTAATTTTTTGTATTTTCAGTAGAGATGGGTTTGGCCAGGCTGGTCTCAAACTCCTAACCTCAAGTAATCCACCCACCTTGGCCTCCCAAAGTGCTGAGATTACAGCCACTGTGCCCAGCTGTCAAACTCATTCTTTTATGAGAAACCCACTCCTGTGATCATTTCCACAATAATGGCATTAATCCATTCCCTCTGCCCTATGGCCTAATCACCTCTCATTAGGCCTCACCTCCCAACTCTGTTGCAAGGGAGATTAAATTTCCAATTCATGTTTCTGGGGGACACATTTAAACCACAGCACCCCTCATGTGCTTTTACCTTGGCTCTGCAAAATCAGGGGCCATTTATCCAAATGAGATAATGGCCCGGAACATTCTAAAGCTGCTATTGTACAGCAGGTACAACACATAGCTGGTAGCAATATATTCAGCTTTGTCTTTTCAGTTCAGATATTAAGGGTGGTCTTATCATTCTGTGGCAAATCCAAAGTTTCTACTGAGGTCGTTTCAAGGACTCTCACTTAGAAGCATTTTAGGTCATTCTCAGGCCAACAGGCATACTCACTGGGCCTCTTTGCCAAACTCCATTTATCCTTCATATCTGCTGCCAGGTAAGCCAG